GATAGAGCATCGGCCTGCAGCCTGATGGCTCCGGGATTCCATGCCGGTCAGGGGCACAAGCCCAGGTTGTGGGTTCAGTTCCCAGTTGGGGATATGCAGGAGGCAGCCCATCAGTGATTCTCTCGCTCTCTCTCTCAACACTGATGTTTCTATCTCTCTATCCCTCTTCCTTCCTCTCTGAAATCAATAAAAATGTATTATAAAAAAACGCAAACGTTAACTTCGGGTATGAAATATGCAAAACTGTACCCCACCGGGTGCGGGGGTCGGTCGGATGAAGCACCACTGGGGCCAAAGTCCTTACAACGCGGCGGGCTCCTTGACCTCTCGCCAGTGTCCCCACCGGAGGGAGCCCCGCCTGCCTGTGTCTCCAGAGGCTCGGGTGCCCAGGCCTCCGGCAGCCGGGGTAGGCGCGCCCCCTCCCGCCCGCGCAGCCGCACCTGTATTTGAAGGTGAAGCCGGTGCGGTCAGTGCCCACGCGGTACTGCCGCAGGAACTCCTTGAAGCGCCGCTGCAGCTGCGACTTGCGGGCCTTGCCCTCGTCGGCCGCGGGGTCCCCCCCGAAGCTGTCGCTGTAGAAAACGCCGGGGTCGTCGAAGCCCGACATGCCTGCACCTGGAGTCGGGGGTCAGGGGTCAGGGGTCTCGGCTCCGAACGCGGGGCGGGGTGCCCCGGCTCCCACTCAGGGCGGTGGAGGGAGGGGGGCCGGACCCTGGTTCCCCCTCCCCCTCCCGGATCCCGACCCCAGGCCTCCCGGGAGAAACCACTGCCCACCCCCACTGCAGTCCCCTGCGGACCCCCCGTGGGCCAGCTCCCGGGCCCCCACCCGCCAGTGCCCCCGGCCTCACCTCTCCTTTCCTGCACCCCACGAACTCGGAGAGACCAGCACCCCCGAGCTCCGCCACAGAGTTTCGCGGGGAAAAGCTAGACGCCGAGTTCGCACGCCGCGGCCGCCGCGTCCTCATTGGCTGGCCTGGGCTCCGCGGCCACTGATTGGGCCACTCTGCGCCCCCCTAGCCCCGCCTCCCGGACCGGCATTCCTAGGCTATTGGCTTCGGGGCTCATGACGTCAGGCTTCCGGGCCCTTTTCCGGGCTCCATTTTGTCGACCGGCAATTTGGCGCGAAATTCCTGAGTAGGGGGCGGGGCGATGGGCGGGGCGAGCGGGAGGGGCGCAGAGATGGCGGCGGGGCGGGCCTCGGGGCCCCGGGTGCTGTGCCGCGGCTTCCTGGACTGTGTCCGGCCTTTCTAAAAGCCTCTGAGGCCCGCCCAGGCAGGGGGCCAGGGTTCGGTAGCTGGTGCTGACAGTGCACCCTCGTCCTGGGAGGATGTCAGAGGCAGCTGTCACTCAACGGCACAGAGGAAAAAAAATTGAAAATAAATAAAAGTGTCCTAGCCGGTTTGGCTCAGTGGATAGAGCGTCGGCCTGAGGACTGAAGAAGAGTCCCGGGTTCGATTCCCATAAAGGGCATGTACTTTGGTTGCGGGCACATCCCCAGTAAGGGGTGTGCAGGAGGCAACTGATGTTTCTTTCTCATCGATGTTTCTGACTCTCTGTCCCTCTCCCTTCCTCTCTGTAAAGAAATCAATAAAATATATTAAAATAAGTAAAAATAAATAAAAAGTCTCTGAGCTCAGGAGGTCTTGGTTAAGATTCCGTTCAGGGCACTTGCCCAGGTTGGAAGCTGGATCCCCAATAGGGAGCATTCAGGACGCAAACGATCAATAATTCTCTTTCATCATTGATGTTTCGACCTCTCCTGCTCCCTTCTGCTCTAAAATCAATCAAAACATATTTTAAAGAAAGAAAGAGTCCCCTTTCAGAGCCATGGGGTGGGAGAACCCAGGGTTGGGAGGTGTAGGTCCCTGAGAATTACACACCCACTGTGGGAGTCTGCTGCCCTGGGGCTGGGCCCTGCACATTTCACACCTCACACCTGCTCCCTATTCTCATCTGACACTCTCCTCCCAAGTGGTCATTGGACTGGCCACCTCCGGTCACCTACCGCAAGATTGTCAACAATGAACGTTTTTGTGGCCTAGCCAATATAATGATATTAAAAAATTGTTTCTATGAAAATTCTGTAACTTAATTTTGACAAGATCCTGTTATACATAATTATTAATAATGAACTACAGCATTCACGAATCACTGATTACTATAATCATGTTGCATTCACTTCCTTTACTGGCCTTACACACAGGCACACCATTTCTCTCCACTAATACCAGCAGAGAATATTTTAACCGCCAATTGCCACGTCACATTAGTCTTGGACTGACTTGTTTGGTGTGCACAACAGGCAATATTTCACTTTCGAGAACAAGAGAAATAGGTTTACTTGCATTAAGCTTATTAATATGTGTGGTTATTTAGTTTCTTGTAAGTTAATGTTCAAGAAAAAATATTAATTTTTATTAAAAGGTTCTATTATTTTGTTAAAGATGACTCATTTATTTCAGCCATTTGTATTCAGCATGTCTCTATGGAAATAAGCCCACTTTTCTATGAAAATTAAAGCTTTTTTTTTTTTTTTTTTTTTTTTTTTTTTGCGGCCCACATAAACTTAAACCTTGTTTATTTGGCTGTGTTAGCTTTTGAGTTTGACATGCTTGCCCTCACACATCTGGGACCAAAGTCATCCGATTTTGGGACTCAACAGTTTCATACACTCAGATGGTATTTTGTTTTGTTTCATTTTAAATTGAAGATTCTAAATTATTTGGAGGTGCTTAACATTTGAGAAAATTCACGATCAGATTCACAACCAAGTTTGAAAAATAGGAAGATTTGGCAAAAATGGACGCATGCTCCAGCAGCAACAAGGGCTGCATAATCTGCCCCATTTTTCATTTCCATCCCCCAACATGAACTGGGAATAACTTTTTTCTTTGCCACGGTCACACAAACATATACTTACGGGTAGTGTTTAAACTGTGTATTTTTACAGTGTATAAGAAAATATATCAAACCAACCCTGGTTTGGTTCCATGGATAGAGCGTTGGCCTGTGGATTGAAGGGTCCCAGGTTCAATTCCAGTCAGGGGCACATGCCTGGGTTGTGGGCTCAATCCCCAGTAGGGGGCGTCCAGGAGGCAGCTGATTAATGATTCTCAACATTGATGTTTCTACCTTGCTCTCCCTCTCCCTTCCTCTCTGAAATCAATATATATATATATATATATATATATATATGTATATGTAAAACGAATTTGAAATAGGCTTTTCGCACTGACACTTCATGGAAGCCCCTCTGAGTGGACACAGAAATGGAACTCAAGCCCTAACCAGTTCAGTGGATAGAGCTTCAGCCTATGGACTCAAGGTTCCCAGGTTTGATTCCAGTCAAGGGCATGTATGTCCATTCCTCTCTGTAAAATATCAATAAAATATATTTTTTTAAAAGGGAAAAAAAAGAAATGGAACTCATTCTAGTTAAGAGCTACTGACTTTCCCACAGTATGAACAGAAGGCAGATTTCCAGCCATTCCCCTATTAGTACAGTCCCAGGTGGCTTCTCTCCGCCCCCACTTCCTGTCTTTGTCACTACAAACAATGAATGCCCATGCCCTTCACAGAAAACCGGAGGCTCTGTCCGTGGGTACCTACCACTTACATGCGCATCTCACAACGAGCAGCCAGCGGCTGCTGGGCCTGGTCGCCCTTGGGAGTCTCCCGGGGAGCTTGTAATAAACAGGAGTCCAGGCACCAGCCCGACCACATTTCCAAAATCAGAGCCTCCCAGGGTGGGGCCAGGGTTCCCCCATGCGTGGGGAGGGTTCTGATGCCACCGTCCAGACTGGCGTTAGGACACGCTGGCCCTCTTACAGCCGTGGGAGGGAGGTGTGTTATTATTTTGCCAGTGAACAAAAGGAGACTTGAAGTGATTTGTCCAAGGTTCCAGGCTTAGGGACAAAGCAGGGAAAGGGACAAAGGACCTGCTAGTTCCCAGTCCTCACGTACTGGTTTCTTATTTATCGATTGATTGGTTTACTTTTATTGATTTCAGAGAGGAAGGGAGAGGGAGAGTTAGAAACATCAATGATGAATTATTGATCAGCTGCCACCTGCGCGCACGCGCGCGCGCACACACACACACACACACACACACACACACACACATACACACAACCCAGGCATGTGTCCTTGACTGGAATCAAACCCCGGACCCTTCAGTCCACAGGCCATCACTCTATCCTGAGCCAAACCAGCCAGGGCTCAGGTACTCGTCCCTAAAGGAGTGCCTTGTCCCCTGCGCTCCCAGACCCCTCCAGCAAAAGGCTTCCCCTCTCCCAGATGGGGGGCTGCATATTAATATTCCAGTGGCTTTGGAGACTTAGGGAAAGACTTGGGTTATGGATGGAGCTGGGCAAACAGGGCTTAAACCCTTTATAGCCCTCAGAGCATGGTAGCTCTCCTGATTTCCTGTGCGAATTCAATGAGATGACATAGGTAAGATGGCGGGCAGTACAAGCCTCACTTAGCAACAACTCAAAACCCTGGCCGCCCTCGTTTCATCACGCACAGTGTTGGCATGTTACATGCATCCCATTTGCTTTCAGGACGGGCAGGTGAGGCCTCACTGGTGTCATGCTACAGGTTAACAGTGTGGAGCCCTCAGAAAGGTTCATGACTAACCTTAAAGGCAGAGCTATGGGGCAGAGTTACAGGGACTTCAACCCAGGGGTCTCGCCTGGTCCCTAAGATTCACAGCACGGAACTCAGATTGTATCCCAGAAACAACTCACGTCAGTCTGAGAGGGCAGGCAAGCCCCTCCTCCGTCCAGGGGAGCCTTGCTCAGGTATAGGGCTCCCCACCAAGAGCTGCCAACCACCTGCTTGAAGCTCACCCACCAACACTGTTCTCAGGACAGAAAACATCCAGCTGGCCATGTCCCCCCGCACCACCATCCCTGCTGCCCACCGTTCAAGGCACAAGTGAGGGAAAGGGCCGTTGCCAGGGGCACAGAGCCCAAGAACAATACTTCAGGGTACTCTCAGCAATGCAGTTTATTATTCCACAAAGTTAGAGACCAAGGCCACAGTGCTGTTAAACCCCTCCCCCAACTCCCTTCCCTTCCCCCAAACCCACCCCAACCCTGCTATTATAACGGAACACAACAAAATACCACAGGCAGGCTGAGCTGGGAACACAAAGCAGCTCCAACAAAAACAAGACAAAGACACAACATCCTGGCACACGTATGTGAAAAGGGCCCACGGGGCACGGTCAGGGTCAGGCACGTCAACAAGCAGACCGTGAGCCCGGGGCCTTGGAGGTTTGGGCGGTTGCTACTTCTTCTGGCCACGTCTTCTGGGCTCTGCTGCAGGAACGGAGAGGGGGGAGGGGGTGTCCGAGGGCCCAGGAGGACCCCTCGGTCCGTATGGAGGTTCGCGTCATCGGCTGGATGTGCTTTTGGTTGGGAAGACGGCGCCGACTCCTTCCTCCTTGCCAGAGAGAGGGGAGCATGGGGGCACGGGAGGAGCGGACAGCTCCTCATGCCCTCGGGATCTGCCTTCTCTAGAAAGAGAGTCCACGGCCCAGGAGCCGACACATTGCGCTCACATGGCGTAAAGCCCCATGGCAACCGTTGCCACCAGAAAGCTGAGTGTGAGGACCCATCGGATGAGGGGTGCCTGGGAGAAGACACTGGCCTTCCCTCTGGGGGTCTCCGTGGGCGTGGAGTCTGAAAGAGAAAGGGGGTCCATATGTCAACAATAGGTGGACAGAGGTGGGGTGTCTGAGCTCACAGGAACACAGCAGAGGGGTGTCAGCAGCCTCCAATCCAGTCCTCCCCCTCAATGCCAGGATTCTGCTAGAACACAAACAAGTGGCCCTCTAGCCACTGCTTGAATACCTCCAAAGACCGGGAGCTCACTACTTGTCCAGGCTGTCTGCTACTGCCTTTCAACCGGCTCACACTGTGAGACCAGGGCCCCCGGGGGTACTCCAAGGACGTACACTTTGAGAACTGGTGCATAAAGGCAATGTCACCTCATCCCACCAGGCAGCCCATCCCATAGGGACTGGCCATGTTCCCACAGGGGGCCACGTGGTCCTGGCACAGGGAAGGGGGGTTAGGGTGGCACCAAGCAGGTGGTGAGCTCCACCTCGGCCTCCGAGGCATACGAGGGAGGGACTAACACGCAGCAAGACCCCAAGGTTATGTGTCTTGCTAGCATCCATGGCAGGGTGACAGCTGGGAATGGCTGCAGACTCCCCACCCCACATCCGGGGTCTCTGTTCAGGAATCATTCAAGGGCCTCAAAGGAACCCAAATCCAAGGAAGCTTTGCCCTAGCCAGCATGGCTCAGTGGATAGAGCCTGCTGACTCAAGGGTCCCAGATTTGATTCTGGCCAGGGGCGCAAGCCTGGGTTTCGGGCTCAGTCCCCAGTGGGGGACATGCAGGAGGCAGCTGATCGATGATTCTCTCTCATCATTGATGTTTCTATCTCTCCCTCCTTCTCCCTTTCTCTCTGAAATCAATAAAGAAATATATTAAAAATAAATAAAAGTAAAAAAAGGAAGGCTTTGCCCCTGATTTCAGGGGGTCCGCTGTGTGCAAGTCTCCCCTTCATAACCAATGCACTAGGACTAACTCGACTGCCCTTGGTTTCAGGGATGGGGAAACTGAGGCGGGGGGCACTTACACGGCGTGCCCAGTCACGCACCGAAGCTGACCTTTTGCCCCCTGGCCTGCACCCCATTTTTTATTTAGAACATTCAGAAGACCGAGGAGCGGAAAGGTACTGGAGGCCAGAGGCAATGCCGCCGTCCGGAGGCCCTCACCTGGCGTCCCGCTGCCCGCCCGCCAGCGAAGGCCCGGCTGCGAGGGGCTCTGGTCCTCCGCGTCCCGGGGCAGCAGCTCCTGCAGCTCCTCGAACAGCTGGAAGGCAGAAGACAGTGTCAGTGAGGGTGGCACTGGCCCAGCTCCCGGGGGATGGGCATCTTGCTATGAAATATTTAGGACAAAGCTCCTAAGGAGAACATGGACTGTTCCTGTACCTTTCGTCCAGCGTAAGAGATAAGATGTTACAAGTGCATTTGATTCGCTTGCCTGCCTGCTCTTCTCCAAACGTTCCCCAATACCCACCACCCCGGACTGAGGGTTCGCTGTCGCCATTCCTGGCCTTCGTGTCTCTATGCAGAGCACGGCTTCGTGAGTGGTACCCAGCCCATGCCGCCTGCTTTCCTCAGGGACCTGGGAGTCCCCCTGGGAAAGCTGGTTTCAGGGGGGGGGGGGGTATCCGTGAGCCAGGGTTTGCGATGAGGAAGCCGCAGCTCCTACAGGTTAAGTACTCGGACCCAGGCTAACCAGGGGTCAGGGAGCAAGAGCCAGTCCTCCAACGGGCCTTTGGTTCAAAATCCCATCCTTCTCCATCTCTCTGAGAGCCATGGATTTTCTTGGAGGATCCACCGACCAGGTTTGGGTTGCTGTCTGAGGGACTGCAAGGAAGGAGTGGGGAGCCAGGCGACCATGAGCTAGGAGTCTGGACCGCAGAGCACCGCCAGGTGGGGGAGCGACAGGACTGTACAACATCCAGGCTAGGAGGAACCTCACCCCCCCACCTCAGTTCTGCCAACGAACCCCTCCTTCCAGGCTTTCCTCAAAGTGCCCGGGACTGGAGGCACTTCCTAGCTGGGCAGAGAGGCCCCCGGTCAGAGGCCACATCTGGGGCACCTACACCCTCTGCAGTGCCCACCTGGCAAAGCCCCTAAGGAGAACATGGACTGTTCCTGTACCTTTCATCCAGCGTAAGAGATAAGATGTTACAAGTGCATTTGATTCGCTTGCCTGCCTGCTCTTCTCCAAACGCTCCCCACCACCCCGGACTGAGGGTTCGCTGTCGCCATTCCTGGCCTTCGTGTCTCTATGCAGAGCACGGCTTCGTGAGTGGTACCCAGCCCATGCAACGCTCAGGTGCACACACAGCTCAATCCTACTGTGATGCCCATGCCCCACGAGAACAGCAGCTAACACCAGAGGCCGCCCCTGTGCTAGGCCCCACGATGGCGACTTGACTGCTATAAACTATTTAACCCTCACAGCTCCAGGAGGCACCATGACCCACTCATTTACAGACGGGGAAACTGAGCTGGAGATTAAGGGGCTTAAGATCCCCTAGCAGAACTAGAACACAGGCTTCTGCCCTCCCAAATCTCGCCCCCTAATCCTCCCCCCACCTCCCGCCTCTGATATAACAGAGGAACAACAAACTGGAGTCAAGCCCGGGCTGCCAGACCCTCACCTGAATGTTGAGCAGGAAGGCGGTCTTGGCCTCTTCGATGACCCTCCCCTTGACCTCGGGGGTCATCTCCAGGGAGTTCATGCGGGAGCGGTACAGCTGCTTGAACTTGGTGGCGCTGTCGATGTTGGGGAAGGTGAAGAAGGCCAGGCCCTCGCCAGAGCTGGGCAGGTCCAGAGCCTTCTGGGCAATCTTCTTGAGCACCTGGCCCCCCGACAGGTCCCCCAGGTAGCGGGTGTAGGCGTGGGCCACCAGCAGCTCGGGCTGCCTGCGCCCCACCTCGTGGAGCCGCTGCGCGTAGCGCCGGGTGGCCTGTGTGTAGGGGATGGCCTCCTGCCAGCGGGGCCCGTACCAGAAGGTCAGGTCCTGCTCCAGGGCCGCCCGGCGGTGCAGCTCCTCCGGGAAGTAGAGGGGCGCGTAGACCGGGTTTGCCTTGTTGTGCTCAATCTCCTCCTCCAGGGCCTTGTAGATGTGATACAGGGAGGCCATCACCAGCTGAAACCAGAGAGAGCAGGTCAGGACCCTCTTCCCGACAGCAGCCCCCATCCCCTCCCCAGGCTGGGCTCCCCCCTCCCACCGGTCCCTCCGACCTCCCCACACTGATCACACACAAACAACTGATGGCACAGCCAAAACTGGTTTGGCTCAGTGGATAGAGCATCAGCCTGAGGACTGAAGGGCCCCCGGTTCGATTCCAGTCAAGAGCATGTACCTTGGTTGCAGGCACATCCCCAGTAGGGGGCGTGCAAGACTCTCTCTCATCGATGTTTCTAACTATGTATCTCTCTCCCTTCCTCTTTGTAAAAAAATCAATAAAAATATATTTTAAAAAGAAAACCTGACGGCCTAAAGCCTTTTTACCCCACAGGGTAAACACGTGGCCTAACTTAATCCTCACAAAAACACAGGAGCTGCCATCCCCATTTTACAGAAAAGCAAACCAAGGCTCAGGGGGGTAGGAGATGTGGAGGTTGCACAGCCGGTAAGAAATGGCGCTGGAATCAAGGCCAGATGCTGCTAGGAAGCCATGGTGGCTCTGAGCAAGGGGGTGCCTGAATGAAAGCGCTTGCAAAGGACACAGGTGCCTCTACTTTGACCTCTGGGTGGCCGGCTGCAGGGCCCCATTCCCCCTCCTGCAGGCCCACGCTGAACCCCACCACCTCCAGCTGCTGGGCTGGGGAATTCCTGTTACGCATAGCACTCCAGCTGTGTGGCCATGGGTGAGCCACGCTCCCTCGCTGGGAGATCTGAGGTCTGAGGGATTGCAAAGGGAATATTCCTAAACTATCGAGCAGGATGACACAGGTAAAGCACTGGGCACAGCCTGGCACTCAAGCCCTGAATCAGAGGCCGTGATGATGAATGCCACCTCCTTCCGCATAATCTAAGCGCCCACTCTCACAGACTTCGTGCCCACTCTGAACTCAGTGGCTTAGCGGTAAAATCCAAATCTGCCATCTGGGAGGGGAGGCGGGGCTTCGGATGGGGCATTCCAGCAGCCACTCCCTGCTTCCCCGCTGCCACTGGCACTTAACAGCAACTGGGTGAAAGTCATCTCTTTCAGGGGAAAGAGGAAGATGAAGAGGGAACAAGGGCTAGAGCCAGCACCCACAGGACAGGGTGTAGGCAAAGGCCCAACCCACTTACACGCGCTTGTTACATCCCCCTTCGCTGGAGCACCTGAGGCTGGGAGTGGGGGAAGGCCCAGGCCGGGAAGGGAGAGGCGCCAGGAGTGGCGGGATAAAGCTCCCCGCCCTCTGTGTGCAGCCTGAGCAAGCCCTTCCTCATGCTGATGCTTTAACACTAGGCCCTTGTCTGGTTCTCTGTCAAGAGCGTCCTATTTGCATGAATTGCACAACGATGCTGAGAAACAGCGAAGTCGGCGTCTAGCATAAAGGGAGTGCTTAAGAAAACCCACTTCAACCCTAGCCGGTTTGGCTCAGTGGATAGAGCGTCAGCCTGCAGACTCAAGGGGTCCCAGGTTCGATTCTGGTCAAGGGCATGTACCTTGGTTGAGGGCACATACCCACTAGCAGGCGTCTTCAAACTACGGCCCGCGGGCCACATGCGGCCCGCAGAGGAGTCTGATCCGGCCCGCCAGGTTTTTTGGGCAGTGAGCGCAGCCGAGGTGTAGGAATTAGTAGTTCATATAGTCCGGCCCTCCAGCTCTCTGAGGAACCGTGATCTGGCCCCCACTTTAAAAAGTTTGAGGACCCCTGCACTAGGGAGTGTGCAGGAGGCAGCTGATCGATGTTTCTCTCCCATCGATGTTTCTAACTCTCTATCCCTGTCCCTTCCTCTCTGTAAGAAATCAAATATATATATGTGTGTGTGTGTGTGTGTGTGTGTGTGTATATATATATATTTATATATATATATATATATATATATATATATATTTTTTTTTATTTTATTTTATTTTTTTTTTTAAGGAAATGGTGGAGCCAGGACTCAAACCCATACTACCCCTTGCCTTCAAGGTAGATTAGCATTAAGTCAGGACACAAGCTCTGAAATGAGACCATCCTTGGCTTGCCTTTGGCCTTTTCCAATGTGCTTACTGGCTGTGTGACCGTCCGTTCATTACTTAACCTCTTTGAGCCTTCCCTTCCTTCTCTTCCTTTTCAAGGCTGAGGCACGAATTAGATACCAAGTGTGTAAACACCCAGCTTGAAATAGGTGCTCTGTTGATGGCACCACTGGCCCCGGCCCCTCCACAATACGATGTAGCAGGCTATGAATTCGCTGTGTGACCTTGGGTAAGTCACCTCCCCTCTCTGAGCCTCAATGTCATCATCATCTACAAAATGATCCTCTCAAGACATTCCTATCTGGTCCCTCAGCATCCCTGGTCCCAGACCTACAGAAACACCTGCCTGAGCCTCGGGCACACCCACACCTGTCACACCTCCCCCAGGACACATACCTTAAAGCCTTCCCGAGTCACCTGGCCCTTCTGAAAGTTCCGCATGAACTCGGCATTCTCTGCCCGGGTGTGCACCTCCTTGGTGGCCTCCTTCAGGGCCTCTGACAAATCCTGGGACATGCTGCGGAGGGCGGGGAGGGAGGGTGAGTAAGAGGGTGGGTATGAGCACCCCGAGCTCTGAGGGTGCCCCTCGCCTGTAGGCAGGCCTTCCGAAGCTGTCAGCTTTATCAGGCTTCTCCACAGAAATAAGTCCAGCCTCCCATCTACCTAGTCCACAGGCCACATCGTTCCCAACTGCCTTAAGATGCAGGCCCACAGTCCTGGCAGGGTAGCCTCTCATCCGGGTATGCCAATGGGGTTGTGGGTTTGATCCACGGTCAGGGCACACACAAGAATCAACCAAGGTCGTGGGCACATCCCCAGTGTGGGGGGGGGGGGGGTGCAAGAGGCAGCTGATTGATGTTTCTAACTCCCTGTCCCTCTGTAAAAATTCAATAAAATATATATATTTTTTAAAAAGAATCAACCAGCTGAGACCGGTTTGGCTCAATGGATAGAGTGTCGGCTTGGGGACTGAGGGTTCCCGGGTTCGATTCTGGTCAAGGGCATGTACCTTGATTGCGGGCATATCCCCAGTAGGGGGTGTGCAAGAGGCAGCTGATCGATGACTCTCATCGATGTTTCTAACTATCTCTCTCCCTTCCTCTCTGAACAAAATCAATAAAATATATATTTTTTTAAAAAAGAGATAGATTTTTTAAAAAAAAGAATCAACCAAGGAATGCATAAACAAGTGGAACAACAAATCAATGTTTCTCTCTTTCTTCCCTCCTTCCTCTCTCTCTAAAATCAATCAGTAATTTTTAAATGTAAAAAAGAAAAAGATGCAAGCCCCTCAACACTCTTCCATCACGAGGAGGCATTGTACTGTGGTCCCCAAACCCAGGGGGAAATCCGGGCTGTCATTCTAAGGAAAGGGGGGAGGAGGAGGAGCACAAACCAGGAAGCAGCCGCAGAGGGCGGGGTGAGCCCTGCACTCCGGGTCTGATTGCGCGGAGGCGCTTTTAGAGCGAAGATTGAACTCATTTATTTTGTGGAGATTTCGGATCCAAATCTCATTACCCCCTAGGATATACTCATTATAAAACACTTGTGTTAAAATGCCCGAGTAAAGCAGTGCTTTCCTAAAAATAAAATAAGTTTCTGTGGTTTGTCTGGACTTCTTTTCCACAGAATTGCCATTTCTCCTTTCTCTCCCACCCACACCCCTTCGGAGAAGCAAACACCCCTGTTCCCTGCGTGCAGACGAGTCCCTGGGAGAAGGGAGGGAGCTGCGCTCGGACGGATGACCAAAGTTCAAACCGCAGCCAGACCCCTGCTGGCGGCCGCCCCGGGGCTGCTGCTCCCTGGGCTGTGAAAGGGGCCACGGTGGCCACAGCGAGGTCTGGCGGCCGGGGAGGGTGGGCTTGGCCCTGGGTGGCCGCGGGCAGAGCCAGGCAGCCGCCCCGGGGCCCCGGGGACCCCAGGTCATCAGGCAGAGGCGCCGCCGAGCACACTCCAAAGTGCAAATCCTAGCCGCGCAGCCGGGCACCTGGCAGCACCCCGTGGGTCGCCCCGGTCCCTGCGGGGCGCGGGCAGCTGGGGCACCGTCCACCCCTCCTGCTGCTCACGGTGCGGGCAGGGTCGGCGCCCATCCTCCTCCTCCCGACCCCGGGCCGGGGCTCGGCGCGTGGCTCCGGCTCTGGCTGGGCGGGGAGGGAGGGCAGGTCCCCGCGCCCGGTCCGGTCCGTCCCCGTCCCTGTCCCCGACCCCAGCCCAGCGCTTGCCTGTCGGGCTGCGGGCGCTCCATCTGGGCGGCTGGGCTCACTCGGGACCGGCTCCGACGGCGCTGGCTGGGGACCGGCTCTGGATCGGCTCGGGATCGAGGATCGGATCCGGATCGAGGATCGGCTCGGGGATCGGCTCAGGACCCGCTCTGGATCGGGACCGGCTCCGACGGCGCTGGCTCGGGATCAGCTCGGGATCGGCTGGGATCGGCTCCGGGCTGGTTCCGGCGTGTGATGTCGGTGGGTGAAGGCGAGCGAGTGACAGAGCCGAGCCTGCCGCGCCGTGTATTTATACCAGAACGGGGGTCACGTGGCTGCCGCCCAGCAGCTGATCCCTCCCAGGCGGAACCCCGCGGCACCCCCGCCCGCCCGGGCCGCGTGGGGGGCAGGGGCAGGGGGAGGCGGAGGGAGCAGCTGTCACATGAGCCCTGGAAAACAAAGCAAAGCTTTTAGGAACAGAACGTGTAAGAAAAAAAAAAAAAAAAGCCGCTCATCTGGAGCTCTGAGCATCTGTGTGTGATTTTGCTCCTTCCACACACCCGCCCGCAGGGATGGGGCTTGAGGCCCCCGGAGTCCAGGGTTCCAGAAAGCCGGGAGCAGCGCATCTCAGAGGTGCAGGCTGGTGGGCACCGGGGGAGCGCCCAGTGACCAGGGGTTCCCAGCCCTCAGTCCAGGCTGCTGCTGATTTCTCATTCCAACTGGCAGCCCCGGGCTCGGCAGGAACAGACGCCCCTACCCCTCCACCCCCACCCCCACCCCCGGCAGAGGAGCAGGGCAGGCGGGCTGGTTCCTCAGGCCCTCTGTGGAGCTCGCAGCCCTCCCCCCTGCTTATTCAGCTTCCTGACTTCCCCTTCCCTCTCCATAAGCCCCAGGAAAGATCCAGATGGTCTTCTCCTGGGATCCGCCAAACAGCGCGGGGCTCCCCCCCCCCCCCCTTCCACATCCTAATCCCAGAACCTGCGAATGTGTTCCTTTCCAGGGCAAAAGGGATTTTGCAGATAGATGCGGGTGCATTAAAGATCTTGTAATGAGAGATTATCCTGGATTATCCCAGTGAGCCCAGTGTAATCACCAAGTCCTCGTAAGAGGGGGGTTGCAGGGTGACAGCCACAGAGGGGTGTGTGTGTGTGTGTGTGTGTGTGTGTGTGTGTGTGACAGGAAAGCAGAGGACAGGGAGAGAGACCAGGAGCGCCTCGGTGCTGGCTGTGAGTGTGGAGGTAGGGACCACCAGCAGGCCGCCTCAGGAGCCAGAACCGTGAGCGACTGGATTCTCCTTAGAACTCCAGGGGGCACGCAGCCCTGCCAGCGTAGGATGCTGACCTCCAGAGAACAAATCACATCAACATCAAATAGGTTAACAGAGCTTGCCAGTGAATTCGAGGCTACAGACTTTATAATAGGGAGGACACCCTGGACTTCCTGGATAGACCAGAACCTTCCCTGGCGGTGGCAGAAGCCAGAGATGTGAGGAGGGTGAGGGGACTCGGGGATTGCAGTGTTCCATCGGAGTCGAGGCCAGGATTTCTGAACAGGGAGGGGGATGTGAGGGAGAACTGCACTCAAGGATAACTCCAGAGTTTTTGGGTTCAACCAGCTGGGAAGACTGAACTGCCGGTTTAGTGTCAGGACTGTGTCAGACAAATCAATGTTGCAATGTATGGACAGGGGCTTTGCAAACAAAGTGATAAACAGGAATCTTTTGTCCTTTTCTAGAAGTTTCACTTCCTCCTGCTGCCTGGAAAGCTGCCCTTTTCACCCACCGCAGGGAGGCTGAGGAAGCAGCAGTGACTCAGCAAAATCCGCCCGGCTCCCGGAGTCCTCCCTCCCAACCATGACACAGCAGAAATGCAGCTGCACGTGGCGAATTAGGAAATCTCGACTCAGCACTCCCCGCGCCGCCTGCAGCCTGGAAAAACAGAAGCGGTTTGGGCTGCAGGGAGGGGCCAGACTGTGGCTCTGGAGCTTCTCACAGTCAAAAGCGGAGGCGAGGCCCCAGCTAAGGGGGAGTCTCTTGTTTCCGCTGGGCGGTGTCCCAGGAAAATGGAGAGACCCTCTCCTGAGCACCCCTGATAAATGAAGTCACACAGGGTTTCCTGAGCCCACACAGGCCCCAGAGGGCACGCCTTGGACCCAGCAGGGCAGGGACCCCGTGGCCACGGGCAGCCTAAATGGAGCACAGCCTTCCTCACACACTGGACAGGGAGCCGCCTGGGTGTCAGCAGGGCTGAAATCCCATCACAGACGGGGGGGGGGGACATGTTTGCTACACGTGTAACACACAGGAGGGGCGCACTCCTCAGTGAAAGAGCTCCGGAAAGAAGTTAGACAGCCCTAACCGGTTTGGCTCAGTGGATAGAGCGTGGGCCTGCGACTGAAAGGTCCCAGTTCGATTCCGGTCAAGGGCATGTACCTTGGTTGTGGGCACATCCTCAGTAGGAGATGTGCAGGAGGCAGCTGATTGATGTTTCTCTCTCATCGATGTTTCTAACTCTCTATTCCTCTCTCTTCCTCTCTGTAAAAAAAAATAAAAATCAATAAAATATATATTAAAAAAAAAAAAAAGAAGTTAGACAGTCGCCAGGAAAGACGAATGAACATTTAATACTGGTTTTAACGTAAGAAACATTCAAAACTGAAGAATTTTCTTGGTACTCGCTTTGGCAGCACATACACTAAACTCAGGACCATCCGGCAACGATTAGCATGGCCCCGGAGAAAGGATGACATACAAATTCTTGAAGCAGTCCTTTTTATTTTTTATTTTTTAAATATATTTTTTTGTTTTTGTACAGAGAAGAAGGGAGAGAGACAGAGAGCTAGAAACATCAATGAGAAAGAGTCATCGATCAGCTGCCTCTTGCACACCCCCGACTGGGGATATGCCCGCAACCAAGGTACATGCCCTTGACCGGAATCGAACCCGGGTCCCTTCAGTCCCCAAGCCGAAGCTCTATCCACTGAGCCAAACCGGTTTCGGCGAAGCAGTCCTTTTTAAAAATAGTAATAATAATGATAATAATAATAATAATTTTTTGAGTTTATTTAAGCCAAACCTGACAATTGCCTGGAAGCAGAATCTCAACGGATTGCTCCGGAGAATGGCAATCAAAGGAGGAGACTTAAGTGGGTTATGTGAAATCTATTGGTGATCGATTAGCAAAGAGTGTGGCGGGGGACCTGGGGATTGGATAGTACTTCTTTTACTAAGATGGGTGCATTATAGCTAACAGTCAGCAACTAACTCCGTAACAGTGAAGGGGTTCAGCTGAAACCGGTTTGGCTCAGTGGATAGAGCATCGGCCTGTGGACTGAAAGGTTCCCGGGTTCGATTCCGGTCAAGGGCATGTATGTTGGTGGCGGGCACATCCCCGGTAGGGGGTGTGGAGGAGGCAGCTGGTTGATGTTTCTCTCTCATTGATGTTTCTAGCTTTCTATTCCTCTCCCTTCCTCTCTGTGAAAAATCAATAAAATATATTTAAAAAACAAAACAAAAAAACAATGAACGGGTTCATGGTCTGGCGGAGCCTGTGTGTGGAGGGGTCCGGGAAAAGAGAAATGGCTTTGTTTCTGCAAAGGCCTACTCATTAGCCAATCACCTTAGACAGGCTTAGTGAAGATGAACCTTTGTTAGGGAAAATACTGCCTTAGGACATGACTGCCCACCCTAAATGGCTCTCAGTTAGCAAAAAAGTTTTCATTTCCGGCCATCCTTTGTGGTTACCTAGGTCTCTAAGTTTGCAAGGTGGCCAGGCCCCCCTTCTCTGCGCTAGTCAGGGTAGCCGGTAGCCCTCTTCGCCCACACTGGGTGCTGACCATGAGCCTCCTGAGAGGGCTGGGAGATAAAAAGGTCAGGAGAAGACCAGCTGGCCGATGGAACACCTTTCCATCCATTCTTTTTTTTTTTTTTCTTTATTAATTAAGGCATCACATATTTGTCTTCAACCCCCATTTGTCCTCCCCCCACTCATACCCCCACCCCTTATTGTCCTCGACCACTGGTTAGGCTCATATGTGTGCATATAAGTACTTTGGTTGATCTCTCCCTTTTATCCCCACCCTCCCTTTGAGGTCCAACAGTCTGACCCATGGCTCCTTATCTCTGGGTCTGTTCTTGTTCATCAGTCTATGTTGTTCACCATTTCCCCTAGCTGAGTGAGATCATGTCCTACTGGAAATATACTTGTAAGAATAAAAAATGAGACAAGCAAAAATCATTATGTTGAAAGGCATATATTCTTGATCTCCCTCACTCCCCCTCTGCTCTGGTCCACAGCCTTCTGTCGCTCTGAAACCAAATAGCCACGGGTCCCGGCTGCCTGTCGCTACGTGAGCCAATGAAGCAGAGACAGGGTTGAATCATACATATGTGTGTTTATTCCGACGATGCCAGCAGTATGGGGGAGCAGCAGGTCACCCACGAAAGTCTGGTCTGTACCCCATAAACCAGCTGCTTCTCTCGGGTAGGACAAACATGACACAGAAAGTAGGCAATGCGGCCTGGGGGTTGGACTCATTGTTTGGACAACAAGGTTGTTCACCTTTCCATGGTAACAGGTAGTTCGCCAATGAGAATGGGCAGCATTCCAAAGTTGACTGTCCCAGGTCCCAGGGGTACGCTGCTCCTGGCCAGGTTAGACTGTGCTTACTGTAATCAGAACCAAACAACCGAGGTTAACAGAGCATGATTAATATTTGTTATAGTTAGGAACAGACCCAGAGATAAGGAGCCATGGGTCAGACTGTTGGACCTCAGAGGGAGGGTGGGGATAAAAGGAAGAGATCAACCAAAGGACTTATGTGCACACATATGAGCCTAACCAATGGTCAAGGACAATAGGGGGGTGGGGGCAAGAGGGGGTGGGGTAGAGGATTGGAATGGGGGGTTGAGGACTAATATGTGATACCTTAATCAATAAAGAAATTAATAATAAAAAAGAATGGGGAAGGGGAGATATCTGTAACACTATCATCAATAAAAAGTATATTTAAAATATATATATATTTGTTATAGTTATAACTATAGCTAGTCCCCAATAATCAGATTCTGCTCCTAACAGCGCCCCATGGCCCTTGGGAGAAAGCACAAGCGCTTTAGCCTGGCACACCTTGCCCTGTCCTGGTCCTCCTGCCCCAATGCCCTCTCACCCATGTGCCAAGCTCATCTTCTTTCCAACACTCAGCCTAGAAAGGGATTCTGGACTGTAAAGAGCGCGCTAACTCTATAAAATGTATTCTATAGAATAAGTCATTAAGGAAAATCTTGGTGATCTTAGATTTGGCAGATTTCTCAAATACAGCACAAAATGTAAGGGAGGAAAATTCAACCAATGGAACTTTATAAAACAAACAAACAAACATTTTGTTCTTCAAAAGGCAAAGTTATGAAAAGATGTTCAACTTCATAGGTCATCAGGAAAATGCAAATTAAAGCCACAATGAGATACCACCACTTTTTTTTTTTTTTTTTTTTTTTTTTTTTTACTGCACATCTATTTAAATGGCTAAAATTAAAAAGACTGTTGCCCTGACTGGGTAGCTTAGTTGGTTATGTTAGGGGCAGAAAGAGAATCTAACTTCTCACAGTTATAGTTATGAGAAGTATTAATCCTGCTCTGTTAGCCTTGATTGTTTGGTTCTGATGGAAGAAAGCACATTCTAACCTGGCTGGGAGCTGATTCCCAAGCCCAGGAATCAACCTTGCAATGTCCTCCCTTATCTTGGAAAGATTAACAATCTTGTTGCCCAAACAATGGAGGCCCGCCCACATTGCCTGTAACCTGTAACCATTCTTATTCTTTTTACCCACTTCCCCTGTAATCTTTGTCCTACCCAGTATAAACAGCTGGTTTGGGGGAGAAGGGGTATCCACATCAGATTTTTGTGAGGACCTGCTACTTTCCCACACTGCCCGCATTATTGGAATAAACGTTCATATATGATTCAACCCTGTTTCTGCTTAATTGACTCAACCAATGAAAATGGTTGTCCAGTTTCAGTTAAGAGTGTCATCTCAATATGCCAAGGTTTCCAATTTGATCCTTGGTCCGGACATATACAGAAATTAACCAATGATGCACCCTTCATAGCAGCACAATTTACAAAAGCTAAGATTTGGAAACAGCCTAAGTGCCCATCAGCTGTTGAGTGGATTGAAAAACTGTGGTACATCTACACAATGGAATACTATGCTGCTGTAAAAAGGAAGGAACTCTTACCATTGGCAACAGCATGGATGGACCTGGAGAGCATTATGCTAAGCGAAATAAGTCAGTCAGAGAAAGATAAATATCACATGATCTCACTCATTTGTGGAAAATAATGAACAATATAAACCGATGAACGAAAACAGATCCAGAGACAAAGAAACATTGATCACAAGATCAAACCTCAGAGGGAAGCAAAGTAGGGGAGGGTGAGGGGAAGGGGGAATAGATCAACCAAAGGACTTGTGTGCATGCATATAAGCATAACCAATGGACACAGACCCCAGGGGGGTGAGGGCATGGGGGGGGGGGTTGAGGGGAGCAGGTGTGTGTGGGGGTAATGGAGGGATAAGGACACATATGTGATACCTTAACCAATAAAGAAAAAAAAAAAGAACTAATGAATGAATGAATGAATGAATGAATGTGTGGAACAATTGATGTTTGTTTCTCTCCTGAGCAGAGGAAACACCTTTTCTGACCGCTTATTGGCTAAGCTTCCGGTATGCCACTTGCTTGGGTAATAAGAATCCAAGAAGGTGATCTAGGGTTTTTCCACCTCATTCCTAGAGGAAAAAACAAAGGTCCGCTGCTCGAGGGACTAAGAAATGTCATATCCTGCCCTAGCCGGTTTGACTCAGTGGATAGAGCCTCAGCCTGTGAACTGAAGGATCCGGGTTCAATTCTGACCAAGAGCATGTACCTAGGTTGAAGGCTCCTTCCTGGCTGGGGCCCAGGTCAGGGCTCCTGCAGGAGGCAACCAATCAAAGTGTCCCTCTCACATGGATGTTTCTCTCTGACTTTCCCTTTCTCTTCCAAGCTCTCTAAAAAATCAATGGAAAAATATCCTCAGGTATGTGCCAGCAACCAAGATACATGCCCTTGACCAGAATAGAACCTGGAACCCTTGAGTCCACAGGCTGATGCTCTATCCACTGAGCCACACTGGCTGTACTTATTAAAACTAATCAAATTATACACTTGAAATATGTAAAGTTTTGTATGTCAATTACATTTATTAAAAAGATAATTTAAAAAAATTATTTTTCCATTAATTGTTCCTAGAGAAAGAGAAACATCCATCTGCCGTTCCGCTCCTCCATATGCATTCATTGGTTGACTCCTGCATGCTCCCCGCCCAAGGATCGAACTCGCAACCTCGATGTATCTGGATGATGCTCCAACCAACCGAGCTACCGGGCCCGACCAACTACCTCTTCATAAAGCTGTGGGACAGACTCAGCCTAGACTTTCCTGATGTTTTCCCTTCACATGATGGGGCCTCCCCTGAGCTCCTTGTGTCCTGGGGCCCCCACCCCGAAGGTGAGCTCCATCAGGGCAGCAAGGACCTTATGGGGTTTACCCCCCTACCCCAGAGCCTGGCACTAGGCAGCCAGTCCCCACATTTTTCATGAATGAGGCTTAGCTGAGTTCCATTCCCTGCCTATGGTCACACAGCTCACCAGGGACTCAGGATCAGGTACATCTGTCTCTAAAACACAATTCAAGCCAAAACCGGTTTGGCTCAGTGGACTCAAGGGTCCCAGGTTCG